CATATTATATTTATTTTACTTTTCCTTAAGAGTTCAGAAGTCTGCCCATCTGTGCCAACCATAGCATGGTGAAATCCAAAAGAAATTAATTTAGCACTTTATTGTGTAGGCTACTGTATTTTCTATTGCAGTAAATCTATCCCAACCATTTTTAAAGAAAACAAGAAGGCATGTGTTTTAAAAGATGGAGAGTAAAATAAAAAGCACATCTGTATGCAATACAGTTTCACTATTGGTCATTATTATCCAGAGCGGCTTACTATGTAAATAATTTGTGCGACCAAATCATGTTTTGCGCTAGTAACTGAAAAAGTTAGTAGCGCAAGTGCCACCAGTGGAAAATGTTAGTGTAGTTCCCTGTGAGATGCTGCTGGTACTGATGTGAGAAACAGGAATAGTAAATCTAGAGGATAATTCTTGTACAGATGCAATACAATACTCATTGAAAGAATTAGCAATTTTATCATGATCGGTGAGAAGAGTACCATTTATGGATATTTGTAAACTGTTATTATTTTAAATTATATTTTCACCAGTTATCGATTTAATTGTTTTCCATAATGTTCTTGGGTTGGAGATCGTTCGATTAATTTGATTTTCAAAATATAACAGTTCCCTTTCAAGGGAACTCGAGCTGCTTCGAGACCCGCTGTGGGAACGCCCCTGCGTGATTGCGTCGTGAAGCAAGTGTATAATCAGTCCAATGGAGAGACGAGACGTCATAGGCGGGTGACGTCATCGACCAAGAAAACTATAAAGCACACCTGAAAACAGACCGCGCTAGCTTCTGTGCCTTCAGCAAGCGCTCTGTGTGATCTTGTCTGTGTATATTTATTGTTGTTTGTCCACAAGCATATATATATACACTCACCGGCCACTTTATTAGGTACACCTGTCCAACTGCTCGTTAACACTTAATTTCTAAGCAGCCAATCACATGGCGGCAACTCAGTGCATTTAGGCATGTAGACATGGTCAAGACAATCTCCTGCAGTTCAAACCGAGCATCAGTATGGGGAAGAAAGGTGATTTGAGTGACTTTGAACGTGGCATGATTGTTGGTGCCAGAAGGGCTGGTCTGAGTATTTCAGAAACTGCTAATCTACTGGGATTTTCACGCACAACCATCTCTAGGGTTTACAGAGAATGGTCCGAAAAAGAAAAAACATCCAGTGAGCGGCAGTTCTGTGGGCGGAAATGCCTTGTTGATGCCAGAGGTCAGAGGAGAATGGCCAGACTGGTTCGAGCTGATAGAAGGGCAACAGTGACTGAAATAACCACTCGTTACAACCGAGGTATGCAGCAAAGCATTTGTGAAGCCACAACACGCACAACCTTGAGGCGGATGGGCTATAACAGCAGAAGACTCCACCGGGTACCACTCATCTCCACTACAAATAGGAAAAAGAGGCTACAATTTGCAAGAGCTCACCAAAATTGAACAGTTGAAGACTGGAAAAATGTTGCCTGGTCTGATGAGTCTCGATTTCTGTTGAGACATTCAGATGTTAGAGTCAGAATTTGGCGTAAACAGAATGAGAACATGGAACCATCATGCCTTGTTACCACTGTGCAGGCTGGTGGTGGTGGTGTAATGGTGTGGGGGGTGTTTTCCTGGCACACTTTAGGCCCCTTAGTGCCAATTGGGCATCGTTTAAATGCCACGGCCTACCTGAGCATTGTTTCTGACCATGTCCATCCCTTTATGGCCACCATGTACCCATCCTCTGATGGCTACTTCCACCATGTCACAAAGCTCTAATCATTTCAAATTGGTTTCTTGAACATGACAATGAGTTCACTGTACTAAAATGGCCTCCACAGTCACCAGATCTCAACCCAATAGAGCATCTTTGGGATGTGGTGGAACGGGAGATTCGCATCATGGATGTGCAGCCGACAAATCTGCGGCAACTGTGTGATGCCATCATGTCAATATGGACCAAACTCCCTGAGGAATGCTTCCAGCACCTTGTTGAATCTATGCCACGAAGAATTGAGGCAGTTCTGAAGGCAAAAGGGGGTCCAACCCGTTACTAGCATGGGGTACCTAATAAAGTGGCCGGTGAGTGTATATTAGACAGGAGTATGGAGAGCAAACAGCCTTGGATCGTGTGTTCGTCCCTGCCCTCGCTTCATTACGAGTGGGGACACACGCGATTCATGTGTTGTCTGTTTGGGAGTGGAGCATGCACGGTCATCTCTAGTAAATTGGGGCAGACGGTGTTCATTCATAAATTCCCGACGTGTTACATATGCACTATCGAGAGTTTTAGCTCTGCTCTTGTTGGCTTTCTTCTCGAGGGAAGAAAGTCAATAAAGATTTGTCTCGGATCTCGCGTTTGCCGAGGCAGCGCGTAGATTACGGGTCTGCAATAAAGATTCTGTGACTCGATCTCGGATCTCGCGTGTGCCGAGGCAGCACGTAGATTACGGGCTGCATAAGAGTCGTGGCTCGGATCTCGCGTTTGCCGAGGCAGCGCGTAGATTACGGGTTTGCAATAAGAATCTATTGGCTCGGATCTCGCGTTTTACGAGGCAGCGCGTAGATTGTGGGTCTGCATCTCTACAATAAGAATCTATGGCTCGTATTGCGCGCTTGCCGAGGCAGCGCGTAGATTATGGGTCTGCATATCTGCATAATAAAGTGGCTCTTCTCTCGTTTGCCGAGGCAACGTGTAGATAATGGTAGCTAATATGCACAGGGAACTGAGTAGACGGGAAATTTCCCTTTCTCTCGTTCTCTTATGATTGTTTGAAAACTAATTTTGTATTCTTTATTGTTTGAGATTATAATATGAGGTCTATATTAATACACTATATTCAGCCTTTAAACTAGACCGTTTCTACTTGTCTGGTTGATATTTGGCTGCATTTAATTTTTGAGAAAATTAAATATATAGCTACTCATCTTATCCTTGGAGTTAGATGTCTAAATTAATATACTATTCAGCTTTTTCATCCAGACCGTTTCTACTTTTCTGGTTGATATTTGGCTGCATTTAATTTGAGAAAATTAAATATGTATTCATCTTATCCTGGAGTTAGATGTCTGTATTAATATACTATTCAGCTTTTTCATCCAGACCGTTTCTACTTGTCTGGTTGATATTTGGCTGTATTTAATTGAGAAAATTAAATATGTCTCATCTGATCTTTGAGGAGTCATTTATTTCTGAGGAAATAAATGGTTGTTCCCAGGGAGAAATGGATAACACTCATTATATGGTGCACATATCCCTTCGGTGCCCTCCAGCGAGTTCTAGTCTCAGTGTCTGACTCGCAGAAGGGGGGTTTAAGAGGGGTCAGTTCGGTTATTTCCTGCCGGTCATCCGTTTCAGGACGCCGGATTGGATTCTCAAGCTATACTAGAGACCAGTCTCGAGAGGCCTTTTAGTAGTCTCAGCCATAGTCATTTTGGGATAAGACATATCTGAGGATAGTCGTTATCTCGAAGAAGGCTTCGACTAAGAAGAAGTCCTGACGCTGAGGCTATCAGGCTTCTGAGGGTGGTCCCCTCCGGGCAGAGACGGGTTCGAGAATCCGTGTCTCCTTGGCGCCCTCTGTAGGGCGACTCTCTGAGGAGGGTCGCTGCGCTGCACTGCCAGTTCGGTTGTTCCCTGCCGGTTCGCCGTTACAGGGCACCGAAGTGGCTGTTCGACCAATACCAGAGGCCAGTCTTGAGAGACTGGTCCCCTTAGTAGATTTTCTGGCAGCGTGGAAGCTACTGCCAAATATATCTCATTGGGTCCTGCTCACTATAGAAAAGGGTTACAGAATTCAGTTCGGTTCTCATCCACCCATATTTCTAGGGGTCTTCCCTACGGTGGTGGACCCTGAGCAGGCTCTGGTTATGTTATCATTCCTGGGAAGCGACTCTCTGAGGAGGGTCGCAGCGCTGCCAGTTCGGTTGTTCCCTGCTGGTTCGCTGTTACAGGGCGCCGAAGTGGCTGTTCGACCGATACCAGAGGCCAGTCTCGAGAGACTGGTCCCCTTAGTAGATTTTCTGGCAGCATGTAAGCTACTGCCAAATATATCTCATTGGGACCATATATCTCATATAGAAAGGGTTCCTCCTCCCAGTAGGGAGTTGGGGGTTTACAGCCGTTAATTCATTGTTCCAAAGAAGGATGGATGCTTACATTCAAACAGATTGTGTCACAGATTCAGTCCGAGGACTGGTTTGTCACGATAGATTGAAGGATGCGTCCTTCCATGTAGCCATCCGTCCTCCACTCAGGAAGTCCCTGAGGTTCGCTTTTGGGGGCGAAGTGTACCAATATCGGATTCTTCTTTTCGGCCTAGGTAACTGACTGATCATTCTCTCCCCTTTCCTATCACTCTCTTATTCTCATTTTCTTTCATTGTTTTTTGCTTTATTTTGTTGTATATACATTTATTCCTTGTAATGTTAGTCACCGGTATACATAGTTTTCCTTTATTAAAATCCATTATATTCATTTATAGACTCTGTCTGTTGCTCATATTACGAAGTCCCTTAAATGTTCGATATAGGCCACAATGAGCCACAAATTCGATATAATTACAATTTGTTGATACTTTAACTAGTATTTTTATAAAACAGGAAAGTTATTTTTCATGGCCAGAAAGATAGCCTTTCTTGCGAGTCTATAAGGATAATTTCTCTTGAGGGTTGATGAAAGATCGTACGATCAGTTTGCTGGACAAACATATTATTCGATAACAAATTAATTTATTTAATTTTAATTTATTTAATTAATTTATTTAATTTTATTTAATTTTAAATAAATTATTTTAACAAATTAATTTATTTAATTTGTGTCTTTGCTCTATTGTTTATTTGTGCTATTGCTTGTAAAAAAAATGTATTAGTTCTTATTGTATTGCTGACTGTTCACTTGTCTTTAATAATGTTTGAACTTTATATTAGTTAGGCGAGTAATTTTTGCTGTCGAATGTAAATTGTGAAATTCATTGTGAGGTTTGTGCAAATTTTGAAATCATGTTTTCTTCCACAGGTTTCAGCATCAAGGCAGTGCCATTCAAAAATGCGATACTGAATGTGAAGGAACTAGGAGGTAATACAAACAAATAGACTAAGATTCATCACATCCTCTCCAAGAACTGGACAATAGACTGTTGCCTCAGGGACAGATCTCTTAGTTTAGCCACCTGCACTCTAAGAAGGGGTGCTTACCTCAGTGTCTCCTACCTAGGAGTGTAACAGTTCAAATTGCTCATGGTTCGGTTTGTATCACGGTTTTAGGTTCACAGTTTTGGAACGGTTCGGTATGTGCTATGTTCAGGGAAAAAAGGACTTCTGTCAAATAAAAATAAAGAAAATAAGAACAAACAATATAACTAGAAGCAACAGCACAAATAAATACAATAAAGCAAAGATACAAATAAAATAAACAGTGTATTTCAGGTAGGTCTAACATTTGTTTTCAGGTACAGAAATTGAATATAGTAATCAAATGTAAAATAAAATAACATTGCATATTTGACTGTATAAATTAACGATTAATCCTTATTAAAGTTACAAAAGCTATTCAATCAAGAGTAGTGAGTGATTTCCTTGTAGTTTGTTTGATTACCATTAAAAACACAGACAGAAGGAATTTTAGCCAGCTGTCCCTTTAAAGGTACAATATGTAAGAATTTTGTAATAAAATATCCAAAAATCACTTGCACAGTGTGATATATTTCCTGCAGTTGTGTACTTACAATATCCCAAAAGTCTCCAAAGATTTTTTATTTCAGAGAAATTCCAATTTTAAATAAGTGGCCGTCCCGGAAAAAAATGTCGCCTGTCAATGACGCAATATCCGCGCTATCCTCGGTTTCCGTTCATACTGCCATAGCCATGACGTAACCATGGTGACAGACGTGGACAACTGCGTAGTGCGTAACGTTTAGCGGCACGCAGTTCTTACAATACAATACAATACATTTTTATTTGTATAGCACATTTAAAAACAACTGGTGTTGACCAAAGTGCTTAACAAAGCAGTAAAAAGGGTATACATGCACGAGACCAACAAGTACACATCAAAGAGAGAAAGACGGACTCATCAGGGTATATTAAAAGCTAGTGAGAAAAGGTGCGTTTTCAAAAGCCGCGTTTCCACCGCAATTACCAGGAACTATTTGTCCCAGGAACTTTTTTCATAGGAACTTTTTTTGCCCCAGAACGGTTGCTCACTGCGTTTACACCGTGGACTAAAGTACCGGGAAGATTAGTCTGGTGACGTTGAACTGCGTGCGACTGCTCCTCCCAGTCTGCGCGTACTTGTTTTGAGTTTTAAGTATTGAGGAGATTCAAGCTGTGCTGTTTTTGTGTGCGATCTATTGGTTTACTAACGAGGTAATTAACAAAACGGCACAAAAGAGACGAACACTAATACCAAAGCGTATTCATTTCAGAAAGCTCGTAATGCTAGATAGACAACGTTTGTTATCAGCTATAGCGGACATGACCGTGAGATGGATGGGACGAACGCGCGCCATCCGGCAGAGAGAACAAGGTAAAAGAACCAATCAGCATGTCCCACCCCGAAAGTTCCTGAACTCTGAAAAAGTACTACCTCGCCAGCAGGGACTTTCTGGGGGGGAAATTTTTACCCGGAACTTCATTTAGACCCTGGTTCCTGCGGTGTAAACACACGGAGTACCACCCCAAAGTTCCTAGTTCCTGGGGAAAGTTCCTGCGGTGGAAACGCGGCTATAGAGGTTTTAAAAAGTGTCAGAGTTTGGGCAGATCTGATATTTGAGGGTAGGCTATTCCTACCCTTCTTGTTTCTTTCAAACATAGACCATGGCAAGCAGACTTTGGGACAAACAAGGAGAACTAAAATGAGGATCAATATCAGCGTGGTGTTTTTGAGATGCCGAGAGCTCCACGTCCGCGACTAACTTGGACTTGACAGAGCTTCACGAGTCACGACTTGACAGCTTTATTAGACAGGTGAGCAAATGTACATAAAACAAATCAATGTTATATAACGTTAGCTCAACATGATGAAATATTAGAATATGGTCAGTTTGTTATTCTAATGTTGATCTAGCTTACTGCTAGTTTCGTATAGCAAAAGAACTAACATGTAGTATAACATTATAACTTTCAACACACATTTAAATGCCGTTTAGTGTGATAGTGTAACGTTAGACCAAGTGAAGCAGCGCTGCGTTACCTCACAAGTTTAATTCGTCTAATAAACTGACCTGTGTGAGTAATCCAGCACTTGCGGGGTAGTTCGGTAGAATTAAATGTCCTTATTCCTTTATATCCGCGGGACTCGTGTGTGATATCTGTCTCTTTAGCAATCGCGACCTGCTTCATACCACTGTAATGTTAATAAACATGAATGTTTGCTCTCATCCATAAACATTATTAGATCCATCAGCTTGACAGCAAGTCCCATCATTCAGCTCATCACTGCATCATAAAATTTGTTCAACTTTGTTAACCTTTGTTATTGTTGGAAACTGCGCCCTCTTGTGGCAAAAAAACCTTCATATTTTGCCTTTAAGGCTACGTCTACATTAATCAGTCCTTCCAGAAAAACGCAGAGTTTTTTTGTGATTGTTGCGGGCAAAAATCCTTGATTACGCGGCCCGTTTTCTTTAAAAATGCGATGGAATATGCGGGATATTTATGCAATTTTTTGCGATGAAATTGCGGGAACTTGCAAAAATTGCGGGAACTTGCAAAAATTGCGGGAACTTGCAAAAACTGCGGTTTGATGGAAAAAGAGAGAAAAAAAGTGATTCCCCCAACACCCTGTTCTCACTAGGCTACTACCTTAATGTGAAGAGTCCTTTCTTATTACTTCCTATGATAAGCAAGCATACTACATCACAGAAAGTGCCGGAAATATTTAATTTCTCATCTTGTTTTATTTCAGACTGTAACGAGTGAAAATAAGGTGTGGCCCCTTTAAGAGCTGCGCGCTCCCTGTTGAAATGTCTGCAGTAACGTTATTATATTGTATGTGCCACCCATGCGCCTTGAACACCCCATGTGTGCGGGTAATTTCTGTTTGATGCTACTTTTATCTTATTTTGTTTATTAAGTAACGATGTGGACGGTAGAACGTGTGACAGACAGTTACGAGTTCGATTTGGGAATAAAGTGCGAGTTGTGAGATGCCAAAAACGTACAAAACATTGATGAGTCAAACAAGTTCTGTAGCTTTACTAGAGGAATATGCTACAACTTCAGTAAAAATGAATAAATTAAATATTTACAAATAAAGTGTGGTCCTGTTTTTACAGCTTTTCGATGATGTTCACGTCACGTAATTACATCACTTCATAACGTTCCCATGGCAACAGGGGGAAATGGCTGCTCTTGTGTGAAGCAAACGCAACATTTTTCAACTTTCTGCTAAGATATATGTGACTTTTTTGCGACGAAAATGCGGGGATTATGAAATCATGAAAGCCCCGCATATTTTGCGCGGAAATCAGCAATTTATGCGGCAAAATTGCGGAGTATTTGAAAAAATTCGACCCCCGCATAAATATGCGGACTTTGGCTGATTATGCATGCATTGAATTCAGCGATCGCATAATCGTGTTTTTCTGGAGGGACTGATTAATCCAGATACATTTGAAAACGCCGTTTTTATTTGAAAACGCCGTTTTTATTTGAAAACGCCGTTTTTATTTAAAAACGCTCTCCGTCCACACTAGCGTTTTCCGACGTTTCAGTGTGGATGAAAAACTTTTAAATTCACCTTACTGTGCATGCGTGAAACCTCACAAAAGCTCACTGAGATGATACCGATGGAAAAATAAATAATAAAGTTATCGGTCAATTCTTCTAACAGGATAATTTTATGTAGCAAAATATAGTAATGAGTAAATGGTCGAGGTAAATTGGTAAATTTGGTAAATTTTTCCAGGTCGCACTCAGTCACTATATGTTTGGTCTAAAACGCAACTGCTCTCCTGTATTGCCGCAGGACAGCATGTGAGTACATTTTCTGTCATCTTTGCAGTACTGTGATATGAAAAGTGAGCAAAGTAACATATTTTAGCGACAGTGTAAAAGTGAATAGCACATAACAGGCACAATACCGGTAAACATGAATATCGTCTCGGGTTACGTATGTAACCCTTGTTCCCTGAGAAAGGGAACGAGACACTGCGTCGATGACGACACTAGGGGAACGCCCTTCAGCGTAGCGTGTCTGAATTTATGAATGAAACCGAATCCAATCCTATTGGCGTTGCGTGATGACGTAGCGTGTGACGGCATACACGGATGTGTACAAAGGCACGCCGGCACAAGCAAAGTCAGCTCTTTGCTATGAAGCAAGTGCTCCAAGCAGGGTGAGGTGTGGCGAACCGACACAGTGTCTCGTTCCCTTTCTCAGGGAACAAGGGTTACATACGTAACCCGAGACGTTCCCTTTCGAGGGAACTCGAACTGCGTCGATGACGACACTAGGGGAACGAGATACCCACTATACCACAACGAACCCTGCTCATCCTAGTGTGAACTGACTTCAGGCACAACCTAGGACGAAAGCACTCGTGCACCGGGTGTAGAGGGAAGATCCAGACTGTAAAACCTCATGAATGTGTGCGGAGTGGCCCAGCCAGCCGCCTCACATATGTCATGTATGGAAACCCCTGAAAGGAGGGCTCTAGAGGACGCCATGCCTCTGGTGGAGTGAGCCCTCACGGCCATAGGTGAAGGCAAATTGCGCACCTGATAGGCCAGGGAAATAGTCTGAAAGATCCAGTTGCTGATGGTCTGCTTAGAGGCGGGAAGCCCCTTCTTGGGAGACCCAAAACACACCAGCAACTGGTCCGACTTCCGCCATGAGGAGGACTTCTGGATGTAATACTGAAGTGCTCTGACAGGGCAGAGCAGATGAAGTCTCTCCTCATCCGCCGTCACATGAGGTGGAGGATGAAATGCCTGCAGAACCAAAGGCCGTGCCACATTAGATGGCACCTTGGGCAAATAGCCTGGCCTGGGGTGCAAGATGGCCTTAATGTCGCCTGGAGCAAACTCCAAGCACCCATTGGAAATAGAGAGCGCCTGGAGATCTCCTACCCTCCT